GGGTAGTTGTGAAATCAGGGTCTCAGCTATTTTTACTGATCAAGTGGACGATGTTGCCGATCATCCGGCAGCCGTTTTTGTGGTGCAGCAGGTTAAGGCACGGATCGCGAATCTTCTCCTCTAGCAGCTTGATCATCTCCGATCGCAGGCACTGCACCATCTCGGCGGTCTCAAGGTCGTGAGCCTTCAGTATAATCCAGCCGCTCTCCAGCAAGAACAGGAAGTCCCCATCGTGCAGCTCCACCTTAAAATCGCTGCCGGCAAACAGGACCATGGCGATGAGTGGCAGCATCGAGCAGTCCCGGATGTAGATGGCGCTGGTGCGCACCTTCTCCTGATAGACAAGGAAGGGCGCCTGGAAGACGGCCACATGCGAGTTGACTGACGACGGGTGAATCTTTACATAGCCATCGCCGCGCGTTTTGAAGCGCAGATCCTGGTGGCTCGGCTCGCGTGGCACAGCACCGCCAGCCGTCTGGACGTAGACGCGCTCCGGCGTCATTATCTTCACAATGTTCGGATAGAGGGCGGCGCAGAGGAGCGAGGTCAGCAGCCTGTTGTTATCGCCGTTGTGATTTTGCTCCACACCTGCAGGAAATTGAATTTCGTATTATATTGTAGGTTCGAAAGGAAGAGCTGAGCTGAGAAGCATACCTGTTAGTGTGAGAATATTGTCGCAGGCATTCTTGCGCCTTCGCGGCACATTGATGGGCACAAAGCCAATGGAAACGAGTAGCTCCAGGTACTGGTACTTGAGGTCGGCTATCGTCTCAAGCGTGTTCAGCGACAGAAAGTGCTCACTGGCATAGTTCCTGCTGGCTGCATAGTTACCCCTACGCGCCACATCCAGCCATTTCTTTGGGATAAGAAATCAAAGAGTATAAGAGTTGCTTTTTCTTGAGGAAACTTTAACTTACCCTGTACGCATTCAGCACGGTGAGGTGATCGCTGTTGCCCAGGGCAAACATCCTTTTGCACTTGTCCGCCTCCGTGCGCTTGCTCATGGGACTTACGAACGGCGACTTGTTGCTCAGGCAGGCGGCGATGGTCAGCACGCTGTCCAGGCACTGGAAGATTGCCCCGTACAGCATCAGCTTGCCGATGCGCACGTCCACAGGCAGGGCGGCGAGATGGTGACCCAGCGGCGTCAACTGGTCCTCCGCATCGAGAGCTCCCACATCCCTCAAACGTGTCAGCGCGCCCAAAACACTATCCTCTGTGGGTGCCTCCAGTGTCTCCAGAAGAACCGAGAGCGTGTTGCGCGAGGCGAACGTCTGCAAGGTCTTGATGCGCAAAACAATCTGCTCGAGCGGCACACGCTGAATTTCCGGCACCGGCTGGCCCAGGATGTGGTGGTTGTAGCGGTAACTGGTGTACAGGTGAATGCACACTCCCGGCATCACACGACCGGCACGACCCTTGCGCTGCTTGGCATTGGCACGGGAGACCCACACCAGGTCCAGTGATTCCATGTTGCGGTTTGAGTCGAAGCACTTCTCCTTCATCAGGCCACAGTCCACCACAAAGACACAATCGTCGATGGTCACCGAGGTCTCGGCGATGTTTGTGCTTAGCACGATCTTCCTTTTTCCGGGTGGCGCCTTCTTAAATACCAGCGCCTGATCCTCGCCAGAGAGAGCAGAGTGCAAGGGAACCAGGATGAATTTGCCGGCACGTGGCGAGAAGAGGGCATTATCCATCAAAGAATCATGCACGGTTTGGATCTCCCCAAAGCCGGGAAGAAAGATGAGTATAGTTCCCTCGCGCGGCCAATCGTGGGAGCCTTCAACGATGTATTTAAGTACGGATTCGATCAGTTCCGGATTGATGGTCATGGGCTCCATCAGGTAAATACTCTTGCACGTGGGCTTGCTGTATTCTAAAAATGATAACAGAAGAAAATGTTAAGCTGTTGCTAAGCCAACGGAAGGCCCATTCAGCCACTTACCCGCATAACGCTGATAGATCTCGGCTAGAGTTAGTTTTTCATCCTTGATCTTCTTTCCCGGCGCCTGCCCGGAAGCCTGGACATCGGCGTACTCCAGCTCACGCTCCAGGACGTCTTGCTCGTGCTTCTTCAGCTTACGGCAGTACTTGGTGTCATACTCCATGACGAAATCGCTCATCTCCACAATATCCTCCAGGAAGAGCTGCTGAACGGGGAAAGTGCGCCCAGGAATGTCCAGCACAGGAGCTCCACCAAAGTAATCCGAAAAGAGAGTGGCATTTAGAGTGGCCGACATGAGGATAACTTTGAGATCCTTGCGTTCTTGCAGCAAATTCTTCAAGATGAGCAGCAAGAAGTCAGATTCCTCGGAACGTTCGTGAACTTCGTCCACTATGACATGGGTGACGCTGCCCAGCAGCGGATCGGAGGCCAAGCGGCGCAACAGGATGCCCGTGGTGCAGAAGCTGAGGCGCGTGCTTTGCGACACCTTGTTCTCCAGCCGTATCTGGTAGCCCACCAGCTGACCAATGCGATCCAGCCGCTCGGCAGCCACACGCTCCGCCACTCCGATGGCCGAAAGACGTCGTGGCTGCGTACAGATGATTTCCACGTGCGGCAAGTTCTCCTTCGGCGACAGTTGGAGGGAGCGGAAAAACCAGTTGTCTAGGATGAACTGCGGCACTTGGGTACTCTTACCGCAACCCGTTTCACCAGATATGACCACCACAGGCGAACTTTCAATTAGCGCCAGTATACGTTCAATTTCGGCGAACGCTGGCAGCTGTTTCCGGCCATCAATGACCTTCTGGTAGCGCTCCTCCTTCCGCCGCTCCACGAACTGCTGCAGCAGGCGACGATTCTCCCGGCTCTGCGCCTCCACATTCCGCTGATGGCCTCCTTCATTTCGCGACGTTTGCCCGCGGGCGTAATGCGTTGGTTTCGGCGCCTGCTGATCCAAACCGTTCTGATCGGCGCCACCGCCCTCTGGTTCGTCGTGGAATATTGAGCGCTTGGGCGAGGGAAAAGGCGACGTGTCAAGACGACCAGACAGCTGTTCATTGGACTGCAACAGGTCGCATATGCTGTAGACACACGGAATGCCATCGCGGCAGATCTCTCTAGCTTCTCTGTACAGGTGGCGGGCGTAGCGAAGACGCAGCTCGTGTGGGATGTCGTGGCAGGTGGTTTTCAGGTAGACAAAGGGTGCCTCATATGGATAGCGGCTGCCCGGCGGGAAGCGCACCTCCACATGGAACCACAACTCGTTGTCGTTCTCGTCAACGCTTTCTGGAAGCAGAGATTCGCTTAGCACAAAATATAAGAAGCTAATACGGCATAGACCACTCACCCTTCTTGGCAATGTCCGCTTCCGTGGGCTGCGGTGGCAGGTGGGCGAACCGACACTTGGGGCCGAACTTGCAGGTGCCGTCGCGGTCGAAGTTACGACACCGCTGCGGTGCCTTCTTCTTCTTGTCTAGCGCTGCCTGGGCAGCGGCAGCAGCAGCGGCCAGGACCGCCTCCCTGGCCTTCCGCACCTCCGAGGGACTGTGGGCAAGCAAGTGATCGATGCGGAACTTGAGGTTCCACACCCGATTCGCCTCGCGCTCCTCGTACGCCTTATCGTAGATGGACTCCAGGGCCTCCTTTTCTTCGGCGCGCATGTCCAGCAGTTCCTGCTCGCCGGGTGGCTCAAGGGTCAGCTGATCCTTCTCGGGAATCCTCATGTAGCGTCGGTAGAGCAGCAACAGGGCGGCCTCCGTATCACCGGAGCAGTGCTCATAGGCCTCCAAGCAGTGGACAGCCTGGAAGCCATAGTTCTCCAGCTTGGCCAGGGCATAACGACGCAGGCGATCCCCATCGCTATCGTTGCCGCTACGCGAGGAGCTCACGCCCTGCACGCTCTGGACGACCAGGGTGCCGCGATCCTGCCAGTATGAGTGCTTTACACCGTGGCCGCCGCGTCCGCGGTCCTTGTACTTGCTGATGTCGTCCAGCTGGAAGTCGGGCCCATGGATCTGGCGCAGCGTGTCCATGGTCATCTGGCGGGACTCGTCATTTAGCCGGAGGACGTGCAGCTCCGTTTTCCGCGACTTGTTGTCGGCCGCCTGTGATTTCGGCACCGCGGGCACGTTGCTTTTTTTGGCGAGGAGAGGATTTCGAAAGTCAGTCGGATGTGGACATCTTCGGGGCTGACCAAGGGCATACTCACGTGGTGCGGATGTCGCTGGGGCTGCGCAGGAAGCAGTCCTCCATGTGCTGTCGCGATGATTCGTCCATGGCCACGGAAAATGGCAAACGTAAATCAGGTAAATTTCACAACAAACGCCTAACAGTGCTGGCAGGTTGCCAGTGGCAACTCTGGCTATCCAAAGACAGATATTCTTAATATTAAAATAGCTAGATTTTATTTTTTGCCAAGTATATAGATAATTTGACAAAGCCAGCAAACATTAAAATGTATATTACTTGTTAAAATGTAAGTAACATATTTGAAACATGAAAGCAATCAAAGAATATGAGCAAATCAGTTAAGATATGCAAAGGTGAGAAACCCAAAAACCCTTTTTTCACAACATCAAACCTGGCTATAAAGTAGCTGATTGTACTACTCAAACGCCAAATCTAGCGCTGATGTGACCGGACGCCAATTGAACGTTAACGGTGGAGAACTTGGATAACCGCGAAATTATCGATAGATAATCGCAATCAATCACTTTCAATCCGGTTGTCATTTTGCTATAATACTGGTAAAACATTGAATATATTACATTTTTAACTTAAGAAAATGAATTTTGTTCCTTTTTTCAAAGCAGTTGGCTAATACTGTAGAACTGGAAGAAATAATGACAAAACCATCAAATACCTTTACCAACCAATTGATCAGGCAACCTTTTACAAATATTTTGAGTTAATTACTATTCCCAATTAGTAGCATAGTCATCCCTTTATTTAAACTCAGTTTTAAATGTTAATGTAAGAGGGTTTCCAGCGTTCCTCTCCTTTAGAATGGTCCAGAAGGGTTTTCTTTGTAGGAAATTAAGGATTTTATCCCCTAGAGTTTGGCATAGCTTTTAGAACTCAGACGGCGACTATGGTCCTTATTTTCAGCCTGAAGCAAGCCCGCGATCTTGTAGTCCTCGTTGCTATTCTCCAGATCCTCTGCGACCTTGATGTCCTCCATGTCCATGTCATAGGCGCCCTCAAGGCGCTCGATGTCCTCAACGTCCTCGACGCGTTCGACGCCCTCGTTGTCCTCTTCGTCTTCGATGTCCTCCATGTCCATGTCCTCGTCGTCCTTAAGATCCATGTCGTCCCTATTGTCCTTGGTGTTCTCAACGCGCTGGCTGTCTATGAAGTCCTTGAGGTCCAAGACGTCCTTGATGTCCTCATAGTCCACGATGTTCATGCCAGCGAAAGCCAGCTCTACAGGATTCTGGGCATCCGTTCCACGCGAAACAAAGGACGGTGGAGCCAGGGAAAAACTTTGGTAGTTCCGGGCGGCCAGCGGATCGTAGCTCAGTCTGCGATTGCGATTCTTGGTGGTCAGCAGCTTGAAGTACTTGTAGAAATTTGCGGCAAACCTCAGGTTGGCCTCGAAGTCGCACCAAACGAGCTTTTCGACTGGAATCTCTATTGGTATTTGCAGAACATGAAGGCAGTCCTGCAATATTGCGAAGTTCTTCCTGAAGTCGGTTATAGCGTTTGTCGCGAAAATCACCTCCTTCAGTGGCACGACATTTTCGAAAATCAGGTCCAAAAGCTGGCAGTAAATCGCGCCAGAGCACAGTTCCTCGATGCACTGGATGTCAGTCTTCAGGGTCTCGTTGACCCATTTGCGTATTGTGGCCGAGATTTGCATCAAGGCCTTCTCCTTCGCGGATAACTCGATGTTCTCCATGGTTGGTTCGACAATTTCCGATATCTAATTACTTTGTATATAAAATTTATATATTGAACGGTTGCAAAACGTATCGAAAATTTGTCTAAAAACCAGAAGAATATTTCTGTTTGTACTTTTTTGTCTGCCCTCAACTGAGTAAAGTAAAAGAATGAACAAATTGGAATCCTTTCGGTGCAAGGTTTTGATTTCCTTTTCACACGCCTACTTTGTGAGGGATTTTTGATAAATTTTGATTTTTATGAAATGTGTAAACACTTTCATCATCGTAGGCTATTTGTAAGGTGAGGTTGCCTACTTTGTCAGGATTTCTAACCTAACTTTACAAATGCCTACTATAAATGTGTTTATACTTTTTTTCTAATAGTCACATTTTTTCAAAAAACCCTGACCAAGTAGGCGTGCGAAAAGGAAATCAGTACCTAATACCGAACAGATTCCAATTTGTTCATTCTCATACTTTACTCACTTCGGTGCGCACACAAAAGCAAACACTAATATTCTTTTGAATTTTAGTAATATTTTCGATAAGTTTTGCAACGTTCCAAAAATAAATTTTATTTACCAAGTAATATACATCGAAAATTGTCGATGGAGAACATCGAGTTAACCGCCAAGGAGAGAGCCCTTATGCAAATCTCTGCTACAATACGCAAGTGGGTCAATGAGACCCTAGAGACCGACATCCAGTGCATCGAGGAACTGTGCTCTGGCGCGATCTACTGCCAGCTTTTGGACCGGGTTTACGAAAATCTCGTGCCACTGAAGATTGTGATTTTTGCGACGAACGCTATAACCGACTTCAGGAAGAACTTCGCGTTGTTGCAGTTATGCCTCTTTGATACGGAGATGTCGATTGATGTTCCAATCGAAGACCTCGTTTGGTGCGACTTCGAGGCCAACCTAAAGTTTGCCGCGACCTTTTACAAGTACTTCAAGCTGGTGACCACCAGAAATCCGAATTGCAGGAAGAGCTACGATCCACTGGCCGCCAGGAACTACCAAAGATTCTCGCTCGCACCGCCGACCTTTGTTTCGCGTGGCACCGATGCCCAGAATCTCGTCGAGCTGGCTTTCGCTGGCATTAAGAACATCGTGGACTATGATGAAATCAAGGACGTCTTGGACCTCAAGGACTACATGGACAGCAAGCGAGTTCAGGAGATAAAGGACATAAAGGACGTCGAGGGAGTCGATGACATGGACATGAAGGACGTGGACGATCTGGAGGATAGCAACGAGGACGACAAGATCAAGGACTCGATCCGTGTTGAACCGAAGGACTATGGTCGCCGTCTGAATTCTGAAAGCTACGTCATACTCTAGGGGAAAAAAATTCATTTCCCACAAAAAAAAACCTTTCGGACTATTTAAAACCCTTTCGGCCACAGTTGCGGTCTTGTATTTTCAATTGTATCCGTCAATTACAAACCGATAACTTTAAATAAACGATTTTAAATGGGGGAATGGCTATGATACTAATTGGGAATAGTATTTATCTGAAATCATTTTTAATAAGTTATCTTACTATTGGTTCCATTAGGAATAAATGTGACTTAAAACCAGAAGAATTTTTCTGTTTTTACTTTTGTGTACTGATTTCCTCTTCGGTCGCCTACTATGTACGGTTTTTTTGAAAAATTGCGATAAAATAAACTAGTGCATTACCACGTTAAGTGTTGTTTTTGTTTGATTAACTATTTGGGGGTGTCACGGAAATCGTGCAGCGCTGATCTGGTCTGAAATTTATGTTAAGGATTTTACAGGTCAGCTACAAATTTTGACTTAAAATTGCATCCATTAGATTATTCGTTCTATTTTGGTCAGGTGTTTGTAAATCAAAAAACCGGAGTAATTTAAATTTTGAATCAAAATTTCGAGACCTTTAAGAGGTCCTGGAAGTCTTTCGGAGCCGAATTTCCCAAAATCCTTTTTTAGTGCACCACTCCTCCATAACACGGTCCAAACACAAATTTTTCCATATACAATTTTAGCTCCATGACGGAAATCGATTACTGTTTTATAGAAATTAGGATCAGAAACATTTTTATCATAGTAGGCAATCGTAAATTAAGGTTGTGATTTTTGTTTTGTAAGCCTACTATGTCAAAATTTCTGAAAAACGATGATTTTCTAAAAAAAATATAAGAAAAACTTTGAGCATAGTAGGCCTGGCGAAATACGGTTAATGTGCCTCGGGGTCCGGGGATATATCGTCATTAAGTTTCTAACACTCTAAGTGAGCACCTCGGAATCTCCACTAAATTTTTTTCGTTTATTTCGGACTATTTTTTTTGTATTCCGATTTGTAAGAAATTGTCGCGAGATAACTTAGTAAATTTCGGTTTCAGTTTTTTTTTTCACCAAAACATTACTGTGAGAGGTTGGTACTCCGGCGTACGGTAGCGCCCAGTGAAATAAGGCCGAAGGGGTATACAAAAGAAAATCACAGGGTTGTATTAAACAGGGCGTTTTATTACCAGGCGTTATTTCATCGGGTGTTATTTCACTGTGCGTTATTTTATCGGGCGTTATTTCACTGTGCGCTATTTTCTGGTGTTCAAGTTTGCTGATACCCATAATGTGTACCATCTCTTCATCGCCAGATCATCGAGATGGTAAACCGACATTTTAATCATAGTAGGCAATCGTAAATTAAGGTTGTGATTTTTGTTTTGCAAGCCTACTATGTCAGAATTTCTGAAAAACGATGATTTTCTAAAAAAAATATAAGAAAAACTTTGAGCATAGTAGGCCTGGCGAAATACGGTTAATGTGCCTCGGGGTCCGGGGATATATCGTCAGTAAGTTCCTAACACTCTATGTGAGCACTTCGGAATCTCCACTAAATTTTTTTCGTTTATTTCGGTGTATTTTTTTTGTATTCCGATTTGTAAGAAATTGTCGCGAGATAACTTAGTAAATTTCGGTTTCCTTTTTTTTTTCACCAAAATATTACTGTGAAAGGTGGGTACTCTGGCGTACGGTAGCGCCTAGTGAAATAAGGCCGAAGGGGTATACCAAAGAAAATCACAGGGTTGTATTAAACAGGGCGTTATATTACCGGGTGTTATTTCACTGTGCGTTATTTTATCGGGCGTTATTTCACTGTGCGCTATTTTCTGGTGTTCAAGTTTGCTGATACCCATAATAGAAATTAAAATCAGAAACATTTTTATCATAGTAGGCAATCGTAAATTAAGGTTGTGATTTTTGTTTTGCAAGCCTACTATGTCAGAATTTCTGAAAAACTATGATTTTCTAAAAAAAATATATGAAAAACTTTGAGCACAGTAGGCCTGGCGAAATACGGTTAATGTGCCTCGGGGTCCGGGGATATATCGTCATTAAGTTTCTAACACTCTAAGTGAGAACCTCGGAATCTCCACTAAATTTTTTTCGTTTATTTCGGACTATTTTTTTTGTATTCCGATTTGTAAGAAATTGTCGCGAGATAACTTAATAAATTTCGGTTTCAGTTTTTTTTTTTTCACCAAAACATTACTGTGAGAGGTTGGTACTCCGGCGTACGGTAGCGCCCAGTGAAATAAGGCCGAAGGGGTATACAAAAGAAAATCACAGGGTTGTATTAAACAGGGCGTTATATTACCAGGCGTTATTTCATCGGGTGTTATTTCACTGCGTTATTTTATCGGGCGTTATTTCACTGTGCGCTGTTTTCTGGTGTTCAAGTTTGCTGATACCCATAATGTGTACCATCTCTTCATCGCCAGATCATCGAGATGGTAAACCGACTGACGCAGCAACTGGTGGAGGCCAAGTCCAAGTGCTCAGACTACCGCAAGGTCGTGAAGTTGAATGCCTGGGGCGGCGAGCTGGTGGACATTACCATCTGTCTCCGCATGCCGCTCTTGGAGGTCCTTGCACTGAGTGTTAACAAGATCAATACCCTGAGTAGTCTGCAGAATTGCCACAAGTTGAAGGAGCTGTATCTGCGCAAGAACGAGATTCCGAGCTTCGAGGAGCTTAATTATTTGTCCAATGCTCGTTCTTTGACTTCCCTGTGGTTGGATGACAATCCATGCGCCCTGGCCGCCGGCTCCAATTATCGTGCCTGTGTGCTCCGCAAGTTGCCGAATCTAAAGACGCTGGACAACGTGGATGTCAGCGAGCAGGAACGCCAGGCCGCCTTGAACCAAGAGTACTACCCGGCTCCAAAGAGTGCCATCAGTTCGCCGGCTAATGAGGTGGGAGCCGGTAAGGCGGGCTCGGGCTCTGGCTCGCCATCCAGCTCCGGCTCCACTGCCTGTCGCGAGCGTATCGAACGGGAGATGGAACTGGAGCGCCAGGATGTGGAGCGCCGCAGGGAGCACCAGCGGGAACAGCAGGAGCAGCGCCAGCAGCGCCAGCAGTTGCAGGAGTTGGCCAAACCAAATCGCAGTGCCGGCGGAGATGCTGCCGAATTGGAGGGAGGAGCCCGTCTTTCGAGGATGCCATCGGTGCCACGTCCAAGTGCCGCAAGTGATAACATGCGCATGGCGCCCAACTTTCAGCAGGATCATCAGGGTCACCTGGGACATCAGGGACACTTGGGCCACCAGGGACGGCTGACTTCGCAGGCTGCTGGCCAGGGCTACCGGACGAACTCCAACTCTGCCCATGGCCGTATGGATCCCATGGATGCCAGGCGCCGTGATCTCGTCGATAATATGGCCAATGGAGGTGGGGTGGCCAGTGTATCGCCACAGTCGCCGGTGGCCTCGAGCTCCTATTATGTCGGAAATGTCGGAAATGCCGGGAACGCCGAGGAGCGACGCTACCGCCAGAATGGCAATCTGCTCTCGGCCACCCTGTGCCTCATCCGCGAGATGGACGCCCCCACTCTGGAGGCCCTCAGCCGTGCCATTCGTGATCAAGTGACCAGCCAGACGATGAACTACTAACTTTGCTCATCGCTGGCTGTTAGTTCGTTTACATTTTGAATATTTTCCAAATTCGTTCGGTGTTTAGAAGTCGACGCACCTTCATTTCGGCTCATACGGAACCATTGGACTTTTCCTATAGGGTGAGACGCACAAGGAACGACGTCCCCCTGATAGCCTAAATACCAAGAGAGATTCCTATAAGACGTGCGACTTTTTTTTGGACCTCTAGTACGAGTTTGTACGATTTAATAATGATAATAAAAGACTGTCATCTTAAATGGTTAAGTGTTTAAACTTAGGGATCTAAGTAGGGAAAATTACCTAGTGTTTTATAAAAACTTGCGATTGATTTCAATGAACCAGATACCGAACATTTGTATTTGCTTTATAATTAAGTTTAGTTATAAATTAAGTATTCATTTTATACCAATTTTTCTTTTATTTTTATATTTATTGCTTATTACAATCAAGATTTAATCTAAATGTAATAGAATTTTTAACAGAAATCCCCATTCAATTCGAGTATGTGCTGAAATGGAACTTATCCTATAAGTTTTTTTATATCTTAATCTAATTCATCATACCAAAGTAAACTTTGATAACACTTATTTCTATATATGTAATGTATTTATGTATCCTTATATTCTATTGTTTATAACCATTTCGACTTAAAGATAATTTGTGTGGATCTTTTAGTAAAATTTCGAATATCATATATCAACTAATTAATAAAACCATGTAAGCCAGTGGCAACTCATTAGGAAATCCTTCGAATGTGCCCGTCATTTGTCTCGTTAATCACTGTCGCAAGATGAGCTCGTGGCGTCTTTGGCCAGATGAGTTTTGTTTTGCAACTACCAGGAAATCTCTGGCCGCGATCATGATAGAGATATGGCCACCAGGTAAACACTGCGACTTTTCCGGCTTACAACAAAGGGCAGTCGTAAATAGAGTTACATGCCACATAGGAATAGGAATGGCAACTCTGCATGGGTCCGATGTTGGTTTGTTTGTTTGATTTTCGTTTGTTTTTTGTCACCGACACCGGGCGACATGTGAGCCCGGAAAAAGATAGGGAAACAGACACCTCGTCTTCTCCTTCTGCCCTCCGTCTCGAACAATTAAAAGCCAGTTAGGTGAATTTCTCGGGCAGCGGGCTAAGACGAAGATGTTCGAGAAGAACACACTGGAAAATGTTAAAAAATATACTCAAAAAAGCATAGTAAAAAACAACACAATATGTATTTTTATAATTAAATTTTATTTCACCAAAAAGTGGTTTAAATGGGTTAGTATTTCTTAAAAATGTGTTTGAATTTTTAAAAATCAAACTATTTTTTAGATACATTTTTGAAATCCTAATTATAAAGTTCGGGACTTATCTAATTATTATTAAATTATTATGTCAGATTTCCGAAACCATTTGCCATTTTCTCTACTAGTTTAATAAATCATAGAGCAGACTTTTATAGTATATTTTCTTCCTGTAAGTCTATATATCTTTCGGTTTTTTCCAGTGTTCATTTGGTTTTGAAGTTTGGTGTAGGTTGGGCTAGAGACGAGGCGGGTTTAAACATTGTAAGCGATTTCCTTCTAATGACAATTCTAACATCTAAATTTTTTCGTTTGCCGGCTACATTTTTATGGCCTCCATTTAAGGGGAACTCACTTAATGATCTCGTTTCGCTCGGGCTTTATTTTTCACTTAGTCGCTTTGAAGTGCGCCAAAAGTGAGCGAGTTCAGCGAATTTTGTGAACCGTGTTTCGGAAATGGTTAATGTACCTCTGCCTTTTATGTATAAACATTTGCTATTGCACTAAAGCGTTGGGAATAAATAATAATGGTAGGTGTTAATATATAAAAATAAAAATTAAATGAGCTAATCTCTAATTTTTACCGCGTGCTGATATAATAGCTCCATATCTTTTATCAATCTTTATATCTATTATTTAATGCCTTATTATTTTTTTATTTAACTTCAGAAGTTACCTTTTATATTTTTACCATAATATGGCTAGCCATTATATACAAATTATTGGCAAGAAAGTACAATTATTTATTTATTCTCTGGTAATCTTATTTTGCATAACTATGTGTCCAGTCTAAACGGAACTTGCAAAAAATATGAAAATGTTATTTTATTAGGCTTTTAACAGGGATAGATGGGAAGTTAATTTTCTAAACTATCAATTCAGTTAACATAGTTAAAGTTCTTACAAATAATACATGTATTGCATATACATATGTAGAAATGTTATAAAAATCCATGAAATTCATTAAGCGTTGCAGTCGCTACTTTAAATACAAATTCTCTTTTAATTTTTTCCAGATTTTTCATCATTTTCACCCAGAATTACCATTTCCTAAGCAGCGGAATTAACATGGGTAGAAATCTTGAGCATTGCAACTATAATTGCCAAGTCAGTCGCATTTTTAAAGACACGATGTTCCCGCCGATTGACCCCCACTTATAATGCCGAGTCACGCACATGGCGACGTTGGTACCAAAGACATTGAACCTTGAGACATGAAAAGCCCGGGTCGAGGGGAAATCTTTTCGCACATACGCTTAAAATCGCATTCGAATTATGCGCATACTTGAGGGCTTATGAAAATGTCAGATGGCAAGTGGAAAATGCAGCGGCCCAAAATGAAAATTAGTCAACTTAAAGACGGCAATTTGGCATCGGATCTGCGCAACTTCCAGCGAATGCAATGGGGGAGCAGTAGGTATACCACGTATATAGAGATGGTATATAAGATGGTGTTTTCTGGGCCTGGGAGATTCGGCGACTCGGAGACAGCGACGACCTTTAATGGCGGCATTGTGTGCTAAACAGCCACGGAGTTTCCAGCTCCAAAATGGGAGATTTCTGGGTATATAAAAAAAAAGCCGAAGAAGAAGAAGCCTCCGACGCGTTGGCGGTGGCAATTTCTCACGCTCAGCAAACGTTCCATTGTTCCCACAATTTTCCATTCATACACTTTGCTCGCGATCTGCTCCTACTTAGTAATAAGTTTTGCCCGGTATAAGAAAAACATACGCCCCATACCCCAAAAGAAACCCTCTCTCTTTGGTCTGTCATCGTCATCATCATCGGAGCCTATAGCTATAGCCATGAACATCACATCACATCACCGTCCTCTTTGCCCGGGTAATGAGTCGGTTTTATATGGGGTTAGTAAGTACGTGGAACTCTTTCCTATATACTCACGTCTGCATGTACAGCGGGCACTTGCTTGTGGCCACTTGCAACGCGATCCCATGAAAAGATCCAAATCGGATCACTTGATGGTCGATTGTCTGGCTGACACCCCGTGTAAAACCTCTTCTGAGTCGGCTATGGAAATTTAATTAAGAGTCTGGGACTCATTGCAGACGCTACGATAAAACTTCCAAATGGGCAATAAGAATTTACGTCATTCATGCGATTAAAAATGTAAGAATAGTACTAACAAGGGGACTAAAAGCGCATTTGAATTCAATATGATGATCATACGTACCAGAACACCATTAGATTTTTTTTAGAATTTCTCTTATGTCATAAGAAAATAACCAAAGATTTTCTCGTAAAAGCTTATAGGGTATAGGGTATATATACAATCCAACATTTTTAATGCTTGGTTAATGGAGGGCTTTATGAATTTTACTAAATATTCAATGTTATTGTTCCTATCGTGTTCATTGAAAACCTAGTTACACTACAAAGTTCCGTATAAATTTCTTAAATTGGTATGCGGTAAAGCTTATTAACCCAGATCATATCGCATTATCGTGACTGAGTTCTGTTAACACAAAGAAAACCAGTCTATCTCACGGTATTCACACACGGTGACACATTTATAAGTGTTGGTATCATTAACGTCACACGAGTATGCAGATGTGAAAATGTCTAATCACTTTCATTACGATCACGATCATCTGTATCTCCACTTCCTAAGTTTATGACATGAGCACGTCTGCTCGCTTTGGGTCCAAGCAATCGCAATAAGCCGCCAAGAAGTGTTGTCCAACTTACTTACGGCCATAAAAAAAACTCGGTCCCAGTGCGTAATCCGTAATGTTTACTCCCTTCTCTGGGCCCGGTCAACTAACATGCGATCTGTCCCCGAACCGAACCGTCATTAAAACGTCGAGTTGTCCCCTGGTCGCTCGCACTATAACCCCCACATCCATGCCCACCAGTGCTGCCAGCTAAATAAAGCCTATACAATATATACAATACATATATTATATTTTCTAAAAATGGAGTTCAAATTATGTTCAAATATTTGTATTTGATGTACTACCTTAGTTTCTAAAAATGTGAGAGCTCATACCATAACTTGAGATATATGTATGTATCCTTCGTTTACCACTTGTTTGAGCTTTATTCTTTATTTTTATTGTCAAAGATCAAAAATATTTTTCTATTTTGATCTTAAACTCCTGGTATATACCTTTAGTAGGTATTATATAAGTTTTGGAAATTTGTTTTTCCAACTTGATCGGGAAAATAGCTAGTCGGTCATCATCTGACCCCTGCTTTTGTCGCTCGGTTTACATGCACCAACCACCTTTGCTTCTGTTTCTGCTTCTTCCGCTACCTTTCTTCGTCATTCTGCTCGGTTTTTTGCGCATGCGCCCCCGAGACACCAAAGAGACATTAATGTACAGTGGGATCGAAATCGAACAAAAATGCCTAAAATATTAAACCATTTGGAATTTTCTTTCTAATTTTAAACTTCATATAATGAAATAAATGTCCTAAATATATTAGAAAATGATCTTTTGTAGGAAAAATTCTCTTGAATACTTTCTAAAATAAATAAAATATGGCTTACCAAAATTTCCTAAAATTAAAATATTATAACTTAAATATAAACTTACAAAATGTACACCCATAAAATTAGAATTTTTACAATATTTGAACAAAATGAAATGTTTTCAAAAAACTATTTTTGTACTTGGAACTAGAAAAGTATCTTTGAGATTTAAGCCTCTTAAAAAATTCTAAAGTGTTAAAACAAAGAACATTCCATATCTTTAAAGCCTCGCAAATATGTATTTTCAGAGCTTAGAAACTATCCTTTAATCCATCTTTTATCTGTAGAAATTTCTAGCACATAGTACATATTTTTTTACTTTCTCAATTGATTAAAACAAACCACTGTGCGACGGTGGCAGAGAAAAAGGCCGAGATCGCGACGAAGACAGGGTCTTCGAGGTTGGCTTTCCGTCGAGCTGCTCTGCGTTTGCTCAGTCGACTTCCGTCACGATTCGCGTTCGGACGTGCG